ACACAGGGGGCTGGGGATGTGGCTCAAGCAGTAGCGCGCTCACCTGGCATGCGTGCGACCCGGGTTCGATCCTCAGCACCACATACCAACAAAGATGTTATGTCCGCCAAGAACTAAAAAAATAAATATTAAAAATTCTCTCTCTCTCTCTAAAAAATAAATAAATAAATAAAGTTGTAAAAGGGAGAAGACAAATCTAAAAAAATTAAATAAAAAAAAAAGAAAGAAAACACACAGGATTGAAAACTCAGGGCACTTGACCACTGAGCCACATTCCCAGCCCTATTGTATTTTATTTAGAGACAGGGTCTCACTGAGTTGCTTAGCACCTCACTTTGGCTGAGTCTGACTGTGAACTCAAGATTCCCCTGCCTTAGCCTCCAGGAGCCTCTGGGATTACGGGTATGCACCACTGTGCCCGGCTACCCTCTGTATTTTTTAAGCATAAACATGTGTAGCAAAAATTCAGCACTCTTTTTAGGCCATAAATCCTGGGTCCAGCTCCAATGCTTGGCCTGGGCACAATGGCCAACTCCACATTGTAAAGTGACATCTTTCAGATAGTTGGTGGCTTTTTGGATACCATACGTGTGATGGCCTTGGCAGTTTCATGGGTGTTCTTAAAGTGAACACCCATGAAAGATTTCAGCCTCTTGATTTGCATGATTTCATGGGGTTTTCTGTGTCAAGACAATAATGAGTCATTTTTACAGATCACCTTAGGCTGCTTCCAAACTGCCACTTTTGAAGAAAGACCACTTATGAACACAACGGTAATACTTAACACATTATTCAGCCAAATCTATATGAGACTGGGATAAAATAAGGTAGCCATTTCCATGACCTGGAATTCTGTTTAAACAATAAGAATGGAAATCTAGAATTCAAATGTAGTATATGATTGTTGCACCAACTAGACACATCTATACATACACATAAAAAGTTAGCAAAGAAAATTGATTTCCTAGATGATGGCATAAATCTTTACTGGTAAATATGAGAATCACTAGCTGCATATGGTGATTTGACTTTAAATCAATTGAAATGAAATAAAATTGATAGTTCCATTGATAGTGCCAGGTGCAGTGGTGCATACCTGCAATCCCAGCTACTCCAAAGGCTGAGGCAGGAAGATTCAAGGACATCTTCAGCAACTTAGCAAGACCCTCAGCAACTTAGCAAGACACTGTCTTAAAATTTAAAAAAAAATAATAAAAAGGACTGGGGATGTAACTCAGCAGTAGAGTGTCCCTGGGATCAAGCCCCAGTACTGAAGGAAAAAAAAAAAAAAGGGGGAAAGAAAAACAATTCAGGTAGTCACAGTGGCCAGTAGTCCCATTTTCAGTGCTCAAAAGGCATTTTGCAGAAAGAAATGTCAGTCAAATGTTGACAATCATATATTCAGTCATTTCAGAGCTTCATTTCCCATAAGCTTGGAGAATTAGTTGTTTCCTTTCTCTGAGGTTGAAACATTTTTTGCAAACTTATGGGTTAGCAATGGGGAGTGGGGTCATGAAAGACACAGAGGAGTGAGTCTTTGAGTACAAATAATTGGAAGAATAAAAAGAATTGTTCTTTTTAAAAACTCAACATGAGTTCAAAATCTATTTTGTGTTTGCTATTTGAATTTATAAGGTGCTGCTTAACCAATACAAAAAGCCTTCTTAACCTTTTATCACTTTCCTGGCGCATTAATACCTTTGGGAGGGTGCTGTCTTTTGGTCTCTTCAAACCACTGGCTCCAAAATAAACTTCAGAAACTGAAGAGGCCTGGGCAGCAAGAGGACAGGAAATCAAAGCGGGGCCAGGATCAAAGAGGCAAACAGCCCTGTGGATCTCAGGGTGGAAGTAGAGCCTTGGCTGCTTTTTCCTGGTTTTCCCTTTAATAAACCCCCAGGGCTCCTCTGCCAGGTCTTAGGCAGGATGAGAGGGATGGACTTGAACAACAAAGAGCTGGGGAAGAGAGTACTTAGCACATGGGGAGGAGAGGCAGGCCACTGTGATATTTGGGTGTTGATAACAGGAACTTGATGGGAAATGCTGAGGATGAAGAATGGGGACAGTCACCCTGAGTGGCCCCATCCTTTCTAGACTGGGCTGCCCTAAAGTGGACCTGGATCCACATATTGGTGCCTTTCTTATTTGTATTTACTGGCCCTCCCCCATTATCTTCTATATCACTGTGTCCATTTCCACAGATGTTATTGACAGACCAAATATGAATAATGGCCAAAACTGCTCAGCAAATCAAGTGGTAAACTAGCCCCAGTGTTAGAGAGGGGGACTCCAGATCCTAATCTCAGTGATTGCTGTCTTCAGCTAACTTTGAACTTCAGTTGGTAATCTGAAACTAGCAAACTGACATGTTTCTGAAGAACAAAATACTTTATGAAGCCTTAAATTTCACAGATTATCGAACTTTGGAAAGTAACCTGCAATAATAACTTTTTAAAGTTATTGTCAAGAAGTGGGCTTTTTCCATTTTTTTTCTGGTTGGGGAAATGGGTATAAAAGAATTATCAAGTTATTCATTTTATGTTTGCAGCAGGGTAACTGAATAAAGAATTTAGAACATATATTTTATGAAAACTACTCAAACAAAAGAGGAGAAGGTATTTATATTACAAGTAAAATGCATATTGGTCTTTTGTAGACTCTATAGTGTTCCATCTCTCCAACCCTAGTCAAAGAAAATTCAAAGCAACTTGGGAAATCTATTCCCATAGTGATGTGTTATCTTTTTCCAGGTATATCACACTGCCTCTTCTGCTTCAATTTTGTATAATACATTTTTTTTTAAAGTCAAATTTCTCCCCCTTTCTCACTAGTGTTCTTTTTCTTTTCTGGTATTTTTCCAGAATACCACATTGCATTTAGGCATTAAAAAAACCAAAAACCAAACCAAACCAAAACAAAACAAAACAAAAAAACCCAAAGATTTTAAAATGTATTTATAAGCCAGTTATGGTGGTGCACACCTGCAAACCTGGTTACTCTGGAGTTTGAGGCAGGATTGCAAGTTCAAGGTCAGAAATTTAGCAAGACCCTGTCTCAAAAAAAGATAAAAAGGGGCTGGTGAGGGGCTGGGGATGTGGCTCAATGGTAGATGCTCACCTAGCATGTGCTAGGTGTTGGGTTTGATCCTCAGCACCACATAAAAATAAATACAAAATAAATGTATTGTGTCCAACTACAACTAACATACATACATACATACATACATACATACATAAATAAATAAATAAACAAATAAGTAAATAAAAGGGCTAGTGATGTAGCTCAGTGGTAGAGCACTCCTGGATTAAGTCCCTAATACCTATTTAAACAAAAATAATACAAAAGTACTGACAACAATAATAAATGCACATGATTAAAAAATAGCAATAAATCAGTATTGAAGTATACAAGTCTCTCCAACCATTCACTCCCCATTCCAACCCTGAGTTTCCACTGTATAGGTTATTTTTTAGGCATATGCAAACATACTCAATAAGAACTTAATTTAGAGAAAAAAGAGAAAAAAAATGGGAGACTGAAATTTTATTCTTGTTAAGTAAGCTTTCACTGTCACACAAACCCTCGGGAAAACAGTCATAAGAAACTAATGCCTGCTTAGACAGTTTGGAGAATTATCAAACTGCAAATTGAAAGATGAAATTTCTTACTTAGTTTAAAAGACAGGGAAAGACTACATTGCACGTTTGGATAGCTTCATTAAACCCCAGGAGCTTGCAGGAATGAGCAAGCACTTCACTCATCTCCCCAGGTTCATTTCCCTGGCTTATTACAAAATAGGGAGGCTAGGGGTTCCCTCAGCAAGTGAGCCAAGTGAGCAGATGGTGGCAGAGGAATGATGCTTGAATGAAGGACCCAGGGGAATTTCCACAAAATAGGCTGAAGAATTCCTATGACCCCTGGGCAGAGAGTCTGGGTTACCCAGACTATCACTAGCTGTTAAGCTTCCATTGGCAGCCAGCAACCAGCAAGCCTCTGGTGTTCTTCTGGGGTTGACCTCCCTGTCCCTGTAACTACAGTAATGCATCCAACACTGCAGCCTGGACCAGGAAATGAATGAGCTCCATGTTCCTGAAAGACAACAACCTTCAAGACTGAAAAGGGGCCAGGGCTTCTCCCTCCTCCTAAGGGTGACTGGGAAGCTCAGTGTGACCACAGGAGTCAGGTCTGGAGGTCAGCGTAGTACTCTGGGTTACGGGTTCTTTGGGCCTCTGCCTGGATTCTGGTGTATTTCCTGATTTGTAAATTTGGGATGAGAATGCCTACTTCACAAGAACACACATAAAGCATAGCATAGTGACATTCATACATTTTTTTTTTGAGATAATGGATTAAAGACTGAATGAGCATAGAAAATTAAAAAGTCTGACCTCTCATCCTATACATTCTGGGCCTGATATAATAGAGGAAGGGAACTGGGAGAAAAAGGAGAAAGAGTGGGAGCCTGGTGGTAGACGGACAAGCAGGGAAGGAGCATTGTCAGGCTGCCTAAGAGGATCTTAAGGGCTGGAAGGGGAATTTTAGATGCAATCTCTGACCGCCCCACCCCTATCCCAACTGGACAAGATTTAAGCTTAGAGCTCCTCTTTGCAGGAGCTCCCGGAAAACATTCTGCTTTGACCCCTGCAGTGTTGGCTCAGAATGAAAACAGCCAAGCTCTTTTTGAGATTTCTATTATCCTTTTAGAATAGAGACAGTAAAGAGCCCGCTTTGAGTCAGCGACAATGAGTGAACCCTCCTGGTGGAAGCAGCACTCAGGTGCTGGAAGCCTGAGGACCTGGGCCTCGGTGCTCCTCTCCCGAAGGCTTGCACCACGATGACATTCAGGCCACGGATTTATCTTTCTATAAAGCAATTCAGTGACATCCAATTCAAGAGACATTCATTTGAGGGTATAACACTCAATAGATCTGAATGAATGAAAGAGGGGGAAAAGAAACGTAAACCATAACCAAAGTACTAATCAGGATAAAATGGGAGCCTTAAATGAGTCCCAAAGGATATAGGAAAGAATAGTTACTTCAGAAGAACGAAAACTTCATGGAGTGCCTTTTATCTCCTCCTGCAGCTAGGCCTGTCTGCAGGCGGGCTGGGGGCTGGCGGGGGTGGAGAGGTGGGGGTGGGGGGAAGGGGACAGGCTAAATGGGGTTGTATTGTCAACCCTGCTCAGACTCCTTATTGGCAGGCCGTGCGGATATTCCAGGTAGGAGGATAAGACCCCCCTTTTCAGGATAAGTGTCCTGTCCCTCTTTGAGGTCCCTTTATCTTTTCTCTCCTACCCTCCACGGATTCAGGATGTGTTAGGACAGGGGCTGGGCTGTTTGACCAACCTGGTATAGGGTCTAGCACATAGCAGGGGGAGGAGGTAAATAAATCTCTTTGATGATGACAGGCAAGACAGCAGGCAAGGCTCAAAGCCTGGCCATGTGAGTCCGAGCTGGGCCCTCGGTCGCTCTGAGGGGCCGATCAGATTCAGAGCAGGAGGTTCTGACTGCGTTTGGCCTCCGCTCTCTGGACAGCCCCTCCCAGAGCAAAGCTCGCCTCAGGGTCTTAAGATGTTGATTGCCGTGGCGGGGAGTTGGAGGATGGGCGGCGGAGGGGGCCGCGGGGGCTCCCGGCCCAAGTTCACGCCTCCCTCCCTCCGTCCCAGTCTCAACGGAAGCGATTATTCCCACCGGCGTCTGGCGGGGCTGGGGGCGGGCCGCACCCCGAAGAGACACGGGCCTCCCCGCGCCCAACTCTTTGATGGCGCCGCTACCGCCGGCCCCCTCCCTCGGCCCGTGGGCCGGTATAACTGGAGGCGCACTGGGGTCCCGGGAGGCGCACTGGGGTCCCGGAGCGATGGCCGCAGCAGACTCCCAACAGCTACAGTTCCCGGAGGCCGCCGCGTTCCCCGCGTACCTGTCGGCTCACGCCGGCGGGGCGCTCCTGCCTCTGCCAAGTCCCGCCGCTGCCCTGCTCCCCGCGCCCCCGGCTGGCCCCGGTCCCGGCCCGGAGAGCCGCGCTCCGGCGCCCTTCGCGGGCTTTCTGGGCAGGGGCCCTGGACCCGCCGCGCAGCCACCCGCCGGCCTAGGCTCACCTGCGCCCCCCAAAGGAGCGGCCGCCCAGTCGGCGTCGCAGCGCCGCAAGCGAACGTCGTTCAGCCAGGAGCAGCTGCAGCTGCTGGAGCGCGTCTTCCGCCAGACTATGTACCCCGACATCCACCTGCGGGAGCGCCTGGCAGCGCACACCCAGCTACCGGAGTCGAGGATCCAGGTGAGCTGCCCGCCGCATTCACAGGTGCTCTCTGTATGAAAGAGCAAGGAGTCAAAGCCAAGATTCTTGGGCTCCGTGGGCCACACGCCGGTGACCACTTACTTGGGGGACATTGCGCAAGTTGCTTTCTTTTGAGCTTCAACGTTCTAGACTGCAATATAGGGATAATATCAGTGCGTTTTGCGTAAGGTGATTGTAAGGCTTAAATGAAATAATTTAGACATTCACTCAATGACATATCTCGTGTTAAGTATAATTAGGGCCAGGAGGCTAGCAGGTCCCTAGAAAAGGTCAGAAATTAAATTCCCAGCAGGAAAGTGATATGGAAATAATTTTACATTTTTTTTTTCCTTATCCAGTAAGGCACAGATGAGGGAAGTACAGTGGAGTCTCCCTCTGGCTTGAATCGGAACTCAAAATGGTAGTTGAGAGAGTGTAGGAATGGCTCACCAAGTTGCCCACTTTGTTGGCATGTATTGGTCTGGGATTTGGGTTCAAAAGGATGTAGCATTTTGGGACAAAGCCTGAAACATTTGGAACTTCTTGTCAGTTTCAAAAATCGAGTGCAAAATGTTTATTGTCTTAAAACATTTTGATCAGAATCCTAGAGTTGGTAGGAGAAGCCTGCCTGTTTGTTTATTAGTCTGTAACTTGTTGGTCTGTGTCCAAGTGCAACTTTAAGTAGGAGTCTTATTTAACCCTTGAAGAGTGTGGACTTGGGCTGGGGATGTGGCTCAAGCGGTAATGTGCTTGCCTGGGGCGCTGGGTTCGATTCTCAGCAACTGAAAAATAAATATTAAACAATTCTCTTTCTCTTTCTTAAAAAATATTTTTAAAAAAGGGTGTGGACTTGTTTTTTTTTTTTTTTTTTAATCTGTACCTCTGGCTGCTATACAATTGTCAGTTTCAATAGTTGGCAGGGAGGCTTCGGTATTCTTGGGAAATAGCAGAAAAAAATGTATGCATTGAGGTGAAGTCTACTGAGCAAAATATTGATGTTATTGAAAAAGGAGTCAGACTTTCAAAAGCTGATTCTAAGTAATTTGAATGCTGATCATCTTTTTAAGTGTAGTAACATTTTTTCCTAAGAATTTTAAGTGCATTTATTTATTTATTTATTTATTTATTTTTAAAGAGAGAGAGAGAGAGAAATTTTTAATATTTATTTTTTAGTTTTTGGTGGACACAACATCTTTGTTTGTATGTGGTGCTGAGGATCGAACCCAGCCACATGCATGCCAGGTGAGCGCGCTACCGCTTGGGCCATATCCCCAGCCCAAGTGCTTCTATTTCTTTGACTCCCTTTTCCATTGCAAATGTCCCTATAAAAAGCATAGATAGAACCAGGCATAATTCCAATTTAGCACTGGGGAATGACAAGGCAGACAAAACCAGTTGCTCTGAACTTCTAACCATTAGATCAAGTGCTTTCTGAAAACCATAAAGCTCTGGAGCAGGGAGACAAGGATGTTAAACTGGAACTTCTATGAACTATGCATAAGAACTCCAACCCAAAGCCATTTTTTTTTCCTTCCATCTTCCAGGTATGGTTCCAGAACAGACGTGCCAAGTCACGGCGACAGAGTGGGAAATCCTTTCAACCTTCAGGGAGGCCAGAGTTTTTCCTCCACCACTCTGCTCCTGGGACTGAAACGAAATGTTTGAAGCCCCAGCTGCCTCTTGAGGTAGATGTGAACTGCCTGCCTGATGCCAGCAGGGCTGGAGGGGGCATCTCTGACTCTAGCTCCCAAGGTCAGAATTTTGAAACCTTTTCTCCTCTCTCTGAAGACATTGGTTCAAAGCTGGACTCATGGGAGGAACACATCTTTTCTGCCTTTGGTAATTTTTGAGGATTCTGGAAAGATTCAGGATAAGCTCAGACAGATAAGACTCATGACTGACAGATCCACTCCAGAATACCGTTTTGTCTGACTTCCATGTTAGGAAAATGTCCTTGTTAACCTTGATGATTTTGACCAGAACCTTCAATGAATCTTCACACATGGCCTGCTCTTCTTTCTCTATAGCTACTTACGTCCCCACCCAGGAATTCTGGCACTCATGTGTACCTGTGTATCTCCAAGTCTGCACATTCAATTTGGTCTGCAAACCTATGCCTTCTTGCCAGGGCTATTGTTATTTTTTGGACTGATTGTTAAGAAATTATTTTATTTACCAGAACCCCTCAGCTTGCCTCAATTTCCTCTTGACCCTGACAGCTGCCACCTTCTCATGGTCCTTCCAAGGCTTATAACCTTAAGCTCACTCTAACCCATCTCCTCTATCCTCATCCTATCACCAAGATTTATTACTTTAAAAAAAATGAGTATTTTATTTTTTTAATTGCTATGTAAAAATTGTATTTATGGCATACAATGATGCTTTGATATATGTATATGTTGTGGAATGGCCAAATAAGCTATTTAACACGTGTTACCGCACATCCTTAACGTTTTGGAGTGAAAACACTTACAATCTACTCTTAGAAGTTTTCAAGTATACAATATATTAACTATAATCATGATATACAATAGATTTTTTTGATACTGGGGATGGAACATGGGTGTTGCCCATGCTAAACAAATGCACTACCACTAAGCTACATGTCCAACCCTATAATAGATCCATTGAACTAGTTCTTCCTAAATGAAATTTTGTGTCCTTTGACCAAAATCTCCCTAATCACCTCTTTTGTTTTCATTTGGCCTGTTGTATTCATATCCAGTCATTAATGACTCCAAACCAGATTATTTCAAGGACCTCTAGCTTCTCACTTAGGTAAAATATATAAATCTTTCTAGAAATCTGAAGGAACCTCCAGTTGCTATCAAATTATTAAGTCTTTTCACTCTCTCTGATAACTGATGTCATATTTAGCCTACAGGACAGCTATGCAAACCTTCTTCAGGTTATCTGTAACATGTGCCTCTATGTCAGTCATTTCTTTTGATTTTGGATTAATACCTTTCTATTTCAAAATATTTGAGACCTACCCTTTCAGAAACCTGACACTTGAATCTGATTTTTGTATCTATTTTTGTGATCACTTCAACATTACCCTTAGCACTTGTTATTGTATTGCCTATGCAACTTCAGTGGATTATCAAATGCTTTTCACAAATGTCCCAATGGAATTTCTATTTAAATGAACTCTCTCCTTTAGATAGATAGCTCTTAGACTTGCTGAACAATTGCTCAATACATATTAAAATTGCCATGAAAAACATTTCTAAAAAATAAGTTTCTGCAAATATAGCCACTAATTGTTATCATAGGCTACTATGTTGAGAAATTTAATCTGGTTTTAAAAAAAGTATATTTTTGCTTGTTTCAAGTTTAGTGATATTTAGGAATATTTTGACTTAGGGAGATTTCTTTTCTAACTTATAATTTTTAGTGTATGTAAATGAGTTTCTAAGTTAGCCCAAGAGCAATAAAAACATTGTATTGAGATTTTGAGGTTTCAGTCTCCTTATGGACAAAGTGTCTATGATGTGACAACAGGTGAGGTTTCTCTGTAAATTTGCTTTGTAGAAGGCATCTCCTGGAAAACTATGGCAAAGGGTCAGAACGTCATGTCTTTATTGTGAGCCTGAACTTACTTGAACTCTCAATGTCTTAGATTGCCCTTTCAGGGATGTTCAAGTTGTTTGTAATTTTCAGAGTAGCAAATTGGTTGAGTGCCCCTGAGTTCAATCCCTGGTTACCCACCCCCCAAATATCAACAACAACAACAACAACAAAACAAAACAACAAAAAAAAACAAACAAGGAGGGGCTGGGGATATGGTTCACTGGTAAAGAGCTTCCCTAGCATGAGTGAGGCCCTGGGTTTGAGAACTAGCACTGCAAAACAACAAAACAAAAATCCAAAGAGCTATGTGGAGTGGCACACATGTGTAAACCCAGCAGCTTCACCAACTCAGCAAGACCCTGTCTCAAAATAAAAAAATCAGGACCAGGGATGTAACTCAGTGGTAGAGCACCCCTGAGTTCAATCCCCAGTACTCGGGTATATGTGTCAGGAGAAGAAACCAAGGAAGTTCAGGCTTAGTAGCAAAAGGGACTTCTGAACCTTTTGAAAACTGAAACGAAAAGTGAGGTAATAAATATTAGATTGTATAAGTACTTACTTTGTGCCATGTAGCGTGCTCAGGGCCTACCCTGGCAGGGCTGGGAGGTCTCACAGTCACAGAGCTCATATTTAAACATGGTCATGGTCAAAAGAGATGGTACCAATACATTCACAAGACTGAAAGACATCTCATAAAACACTTTAAGCTTATGATCCACTAAGAATCTCATTCAAAAATAAAACTTGTGGGCTGGGATTGTGGCGCTCGCCTAGCACAGGCGGACCCGGGTTTGATCCTCAGCACCACATAAAAATAAAGGCATTGTGTTGTGTCCAACTACACCTAAAAAATAAATATTAAAAAAATAAAACTTGTAACTTATTAATTGTATTACCTTGTGAATATTATATTGTTTACTTAAATAAGCAATTAGGAAAAAAATCTACAAATATTTAAAATCTACAAATATTTAAAATCATGGATCCTCTAAGAACATAGGTAGTCTGCACAACTCTCAGGGGCTCTAACTGCTAAATGTGTTGCAAGTGTTATATATTTAATACTCATACATAATGTCTAATATAGGCACTATTCTTCCCATTTTAAGTAGTGGTTCGCAATCACAAGGGCTTGTGAATATCAATGGCCAGGACTCAAACCTAGGATTAATTCAACCCACCATTTAGCTTTTACCATATAATACCTTCCTAACCATTAGTTAGGATTAATAGGTGATAGATTTAAAAACACCTCAAATCATAATTTTTCTATATGCAAGTTGATATTGTCTCATCTTTCAAAGTAATCAAAAAAACATTCTCTTACTCTAATAAAAATAATGTTGCTTAGAGCTCTTTGGACACTTGTTTGTTCATTATGCAAATATTTGGTGCTTACAAACAGACACTTTTTTGAGGGGCTGGGGTTGTGGCTCAGTGGTAGAGTGCTTGCCTAGCATGCACGAGGCACTGGGTTTGATCCTCAGCACCACATAAGTGTAAAATAACCAACAAAAACTAAGAAATAAATATATATATAAAAAAAAAAACAGACACTTTTTCAGGAGCTGGAAATAAAATAGTGGGGAAAAAAGAAAACCCTCAGACAAATAGTCCCTTCCCGTCATGGAGCAAAGAGGCCAGGATGGAGACAAAAGACCACTCCAAGAAATATAAAACTGCAAATATTACAAATGCTGGAAGGAGAGGTATGCAATCTGGAGACTCTATGACAGATGCTTATTGGGGTCAAGGAAAGCTTCCTTGAGAAAGTGATGCTTAAGGAAAGCTCTGCAGGATGATCAGGAGCAACTGAGGACACAGAACAGAAGCCATGCATATGCAAAGGACAGGACAGAGAAATAGGTCTGGGAGGCAAGATGATGTGTGGCTTAGTCAGTGTTTTTTTTTTTTTTTTTTTTTAATATTGGGGATTAAACTCAGAGGCACTTAACCAATAAGCCACATCCCCAGCTGGTTTTATATTTTATTTTGAGACAGGGTCTAAGTTGCTTAGGGCCTCGCTGAGGCTGCCTTTAAACTTGCAATCCTCCTGCCTTGGCTTCCCAAGCCACTAAGATTACAGGTATGCACCATCGTGCCTTGCTGCTTTGTCAGTTTTATGAGTTCCGAGTTTGTCCCAAGAGCCACAGACTTTAAAGATGTTTATAGAAAGGAATAACATGACCTGTTCTACATCTTAAGATATCCAAAGAGTGATGATGGCAGTGGGCTGTGAGTAATGGTGGTGATAAAGGTGGAAAAGAATAGTTTTGAGAGAGAAAACTTATTAAAAGGTAAATCTCTTTGTATATTCCTAATGGTAACAAGGGAATATGACTTTAGGAACTAGCTTAATGTAATTCAGAATCACATCTATTTAAGTAAAAAACCCTGTATGTGCTTGCTTGTTTGCCCAATCTGACTTTTTTTTTTTAAAGAGAGAGTGAGAGAGGAGAGAGAGATAGAGAGAGAATTTTTAATATTTATTTTTTAGTTCTCGGCAGACACAACATCTTTGTTGGTATGTGGTGCTGAGGATCGAACCTGGGCCGCACGCATGCCAGGCGAGTGCGCTACCGCTTGAGCCACATCCCCATCCCCCAATCTGACTTTTGATAGCTTTCTATGGACTCCATAAAGGTGTTAAGTGGGGACAGCATTATTCAAATCAGTGTATAGTTGACTCAAAATGACTGCTTTGAGTTGTATCTATTTCTTCTTTCCTAAACAAAAATACAATTCAACTATATTATTAGACACAGTCTCTATTTTCAACGTTGAAAGACAAATGGTGCTTAAATATGTGTAAAATGAGTTATTATTTAAGTGACAAGTGAACCTTAAAGAATATAAAAGAAAAATATAAAAAATACTTCCCAATTCTAGGCAGAAAACATTGAATCAACTTTGACTAGGCCTATACTAGGCCAGTAATTTATTTGCTTAATATTTCCACAGTGATTTACTCACAGATGGAAAAAATCCCTCCCTAAAATAATACTAGATGTAGCATACTTCAAAGTGGCTTGGTAGAGCCAGGCACAGTGGCAAGTGTCTCTAGACCCAGCTACGCAGGAGGCTAAGACAGGAACATTGCTTGAGCCCAGGAGACACCATGGACAGCATTAGCAAGATCCTTTTTCAAAAGAAGAAAAAGCTGGGAATGGAGCAGGGTACAGTGGTGCTCGCCTGTAATCCCAGCTACTGGGGAGATAATCGAGATAAGATGATCCCAAGTTCTAATCAATGTTTGGGCAATTTAGCGAGACCCTTTTTCAAAAAATAAAGAGTTGGGGTTGTGGCTCAGTGGTAGAGTGCCCTTGGGTTCAAGCCCTAGGACTGAATAAAACAAACATGTAAAGACTTGATAATTATTCTGTATTGTTTCCCCTACAAACTTAATTCTTCAAGGTCTTAAAATAGAGGGAATACCTATCAATTTGTATTGAATGAGAATGTAGATAATATTAATTTTCATAGATCAATTTATTTAGAATTACAAATATTAAGAATAAAAGATTTATGCATTTCTTAATTAACATAACAGTTTAGCTAAATATAAACTCTGCACTAAAGTTTTGCAATGGCACAATACCAACAAAGAATACAGAAGCATTTTTAAACTATACAAAAATTTCAAATGGAAAATAATCTTCAATTTTATTGTACATTAACATATAAAAAGTCTCATCTTATGAGACCATCTAAAAGAATCAAAACCACCTCTATAGCTATGTCTTAAACTCCAAATTTGAAAACAGTTTATTATATTTTGACTTTATAATATTCTATATTAAAACAAAGAAAAATTAAAATACATACTTTTTACAAAGTTAACATTTTAGGCAGGGTTTTCCTTAAAAAAGAAAAACAAAAAACAAACAAAACAATCAACCCAAACCAAACCTTTCTTCTGTACTTCACAACATTGATGATTTTGTTTTCTTTATAAAATATTTTTACTTTATAAATTGTGTACTGTTGGATTTTAACCAGTAATCTGGTTTAAAAGTTGTGCAAATAAACAAAAATATGAAAATAGTGTGTTATCAGTCTTTTTTTCTCTTTTAATAAATTTCATAACAACAGCACTTTTTGCCCTGAATTGACGGGAAAGACATGCCAAATCCACTTGTTGAAATTTAGCATTTTGCAGTAATGTTTTTTTTCCTGCTCCTTCATTTTCTTTCAACAGACAAACAACAAAAGATTCTTTTATAAATTATGATAAATTAAATATTTATTATTATAAAATGATTTATAGAACCATGTCACATTGCAAGTATGTATCACATATACTTGTAAAGTCCATATTTTCCATCTATATTCCAGTGGCTTCCTGAAAACTAGGACTTCCCACACCTTCCGACGTTATCTTTTGAAGACCAAGACGGTGATCAACTAAATCCACTAGAGTGGTAATTTTCCAGATGGAATTTCCACATTGCCACCATTACATACAAAAAGACCATGTTTCTTCATGTTCTCCATTGCAGTAGTTGTCTGCATGTGCTGGGTTGAATTCATGCATATTTTAAAAAATGGTGAACATAGTCTTCCATGAAACTATATTATGTTCAGATATTTTCAGTTTAAAAATACTTGCTAATAAACATACGTAACACAAGCAATGCTACTGCATTTGAATAATAAAAGAAAAATAAATATATGCTGGTCAGCAATGCTGGTTTAAGAAGCAGTACAATATATTAAAATGACTTATTTGGAGATTAAAATTTCCCTTGTTTTCCAGCAGTTAGGTTATTTGGTGTTGGAAGCCTATATAAAGGAAAAGAACTTCTCAAAAACAATGTCCTATGCAGTTGGAATATTTAAATCTTCTACTCAGTCTCTGTTGGTGTTGTTTGCTGCAAAGGCATGTAAGTTTCCCATCTGGCTCAAGCCACTCTGAATATGTGCAACATGGATTTCTACATTATTCTGAAAGCAACTAAAGAAAGAAGAAACATGGTTAAAGATTTCATTTCACAAAATTAAGAAAAACAATTTTTAAAAAAGGAAGAGCTGAATATTAGTTAGAAAATAGCTAAGATAACAACTTCACATCTCTTCTTATGCTTTAGCCATAATTCTACTTCAGTGACATTGAAAAGCTATGGGGTAAAGAAGCAAATGAGCAGCAGGACAAACCTCTTCCTGACTGGGGAAGGTCTACTTCTAAGTTGACCTTCACCTAAACCCAAACTAAATATTATATGTCTCCCAATTCCTTACATAGAAAATCCATGTGAAATTTCTATTCTGTCAACAATATGGATATAACTGGAAAGTTCTTTAAAATACATCCAAAGGATAAAAATGTAAATGCATACTTCACAATATGCAAAATTATTAAAATTTGTTCTGAAAATAACTATGAATTTAACATAAAAATGATTAGAGTATGCCTAATGAATTACCTGATATTAGAAGCATCTATTGTACTCTTGATATCATTTAACGAATCTGTAAGTGATTTGAATTCAAAAGAATTCAGGTCTCCTCCCTCTGCTAGACACTAAAAGGAAAAAATTTGAAAATTTAATTGAATTGTAGCTCAAAATAGACATAAAATATTTGATATAATTTACAAATTATGATTTCTTAGCAACAAATTAGCAAAGTTTGCTTAGTGTCAAAATTTAAAAAATAATTTTCTCTAAAATTTACCTTAATTTGTAATAAAATAGCTGTAAGTCTGGAGATCAAGTCTGTCAGATTTTCATTTTCAACACAGGGTTGTCCTGTTGAGGAATTTGCATGCCGAACAATTTCCTGTGCTTCTTCCTCACACCTTCTCCTCATATCTGTTGGCTGATCTGCAGGCTGGAGTCCCTGGTCTGGAGCAAGCTAAATATAGAGAATTGAAACACGCAATATAAATAATGAGGCCATTATTATTTCTCTGTGTTTCATATTTGGATTTTTCACAAAACTAACATTTATAATTAAAGCAATGTTCAATCTTATCTTTGGAGATTTTTTCCTCCAACAGTGTTTTTTTTTCCCTAATGTGTTTTGTATTTTTCATATCTTATAATTTTGATAATTTTAAACTTCTAAGTTAAATAAAAAGAAAACTCTTGATAAGTCCTAGCCCAAATTTATTTATTGATTGTTTTACTCCAATTGATTTACCTTTTGTAGCTTATAATCCTAGTGACTTGGGAGGCTGAGGCAGGAGGATTACAAGTTAGAGACCAGTCTAAGCAACTTTTGAGACTCCTTTTCAAAATAAAAAATGAAAAGGACTGGGTAAATACTTCAGTGGCAAAGGACCTCTGGGTATAATTCCCAGTAATGAAAACAAAAACAAAAACAAATTATTTGCCATTTGTTTTTTCACT